CGAGCGGCCGCACCACGCCGCCCCGGACGGGCTCTCGGCAGATCCCACCGTCCCTCCAGGCCCAGCCGCCGGGAACCGACCGACTTCAGGCTGAAAAGCAGCTTCCTCTCGGGGCGAGAAACTCCTTCAGAGCCGTGACCGCGCGTTCGCACCTTTACGAGCTCGTTAGTCCGTATCACGTCTCCACCGTCACCATACGGGCTGATCTGTCGGCACAGAAACGTTACCAAAGGCAGGACCTGAACCAAGGGAAAACCGCATTATCTGGACACACTTGGAAATGACAGGGAAAAATGCAATGCAAGGACCATGAAATGAAATCACCACCTTGAATTCTGCCAACAGCTACAGCACGAGGACGAGAGGCCCCCCAGGAGCCCCACCCCAGCAAACCCCAGCCCCGCGAGCCGCGGATTTCCACCTTGCAAGGAGACCTTCTCCGAGAGCAGGCCGGCTGCGTGGGCCTCGAGCTGCAAGCCGCTCCTCACCCCCACAGCCTCTCTGCCACCGAGGGCCCAGCTTGCGTGCTGGTATTTTTCGAAACTTCACTTGTTTATGGCGTTGTTCTAAACCTGGCTCGGTAACCTTTCCTTCCCAAGTCCCACACGGTTACTCGGGGTGCTCCCAATCAGCTCCCTGCTGTCCCCAAACCCCTCAACGGATCCCTGCACTGAACAGGCCTGCAAAGAGCACAAGAAACGCGAACACTTCCGTCACAAGATCAGCTGCTTGTTAAAAAAGGTTTTAGTATCTTTAAAAATAAAAACTGTTTAGTAAAAAGTGACACGTATCTGCAGAGACACCTCCACTCCCAAGCTGTCCTGCAGCAGCGCCGCGCGTCGTTTTGCATACATCATCAGCTAACCAGCACCGAGGTGTCAAACGGGACATTTGACTAAATGCCATCAAATCCAGGAGGAATTTGTTGCGAGCCCTTCGGGTAGTTAAGGGGTCTGACGAAGAGCTCCCCCAAACCGCCCCTGAAACAAAGAGGGCGAAGCGTGGTACTCCCCGACAGCGCGAAATGCTCCGGCTGAGGGACGTCCAGCCCAGCCTCTGCTCTTGCATTGAAGGTTGCCTGAATCGGAGAGGTTCATGGGTTTGGAAGAAAAAAAAAAAAGAATACATTATTTGCTTTCTAGCTGAAAGGGGCAATCCCCTCGGCACCTCTGCAGATTGTAAAGCAACACCCCTGGAGAGTATTTTTTCCCCCCGGGCTTCGCAGCAGGGAGCGAACGCCTCGGGTCACTGAGGCAATCCCCAGCGCTAACCCCGCTGCTCTGGCGATCAGGTATGGATTTCCCGCTCCCCAACAATGCAGGTATTGACAGCACAAAATAAGCCGTCAGGTCACTTGCTGGCGAAAGTTTAGCTAAAAAGCTTCCAATCTCTCAAGGTCAAGCTTCAAAAGCACCTTTTGGCACCGCGCTGAAAGCAGAGTTATGTTGTGAGTGGCTGGAGAAGCTTCTGCCCCTGGCGATGGGGTGGCTTTGACAACAGCCCTCTGCTCTCAACACCGCTTGCCCACAGCACCTTATTGAACAAAAAAATAAAACAACTGAAAAAAATAAAAGTTATTTTCCTTTACAAAAGCTAGCCAGTCACGGAGGATCAGGAGGTTACAGTTTCCACAGCGATATCAGTCGGCTGATCCGTTTCCAGCATGGCCAGCACGGATTCCTTGATGTCTTCTGAGGTTATCACAAGCGAGTCCACCTCGGCGACCTCTTCGAGCACCGTCACCTCCGCCCCGTTGGGCTGCTGCCTCGCCATGGCCGCCAGCTTCAGCCGGTACTCCTCTGCCTCCTGCTCTTTCTTCAAGAGCTGGCTGCGATACTCCTGAGCCTTCTGGTTCGCCTCTTGCAACTGCTGCTGCAGCACCTCCCTTTCAACGCTGTCCTACGGAAAACAAGAGTTGAGAGAGCCCACGATGGAGGCCCAGCCTGCGACATGAAGGAAACGGGGCGTGCAAGCACTCCGACGCTTACAAGTTACAAAAGCCAAATGCTCTAAGGCAGCGCGAGAAATGCGCTTGGTCAGGTTCTGTCCAACTGCTTACTCACTGCAGGTCACCAGAGGCAGCTGGGACGCGGGGGGGCACAAACCGGCTGCAGCGTCCCCGCAGCGTGCAGGGGAGCGGGCTGGGAAGGTACGGCGGTCTCACCGTGATGAATTTCAAAGGTTGGAAGCAGGTGTAACCGAGATGCAGGAAAACTAAAGAGTCCTTAGTGCTGCGAAGTTGAGAGGCCATCGAGAACGTTCTTCCTTCCAGCAGAGAGTGACGGGAGAGTCATTCCCGCTGCTTTATGCAGGGCTGCGGCTTGGCTTCCACCCAGCCCCTGCGCTGGGCTTCTACAGCAAATCCTAAATATTCTCAGTGAACGACCACGATTCACCCAAAGACCCCGAGCGCCGGCTTCAGCACAGGCAAAACGGCAACAAGGGATTTAGCCGGGTCTTTTCCTCCTACCCACACTCGACTCGAGCACCGCTGCTCTCAGCCGCTCGCGCGTTCACTGCTAACGCAGGAGCACGTGCGGGAAGAGCAGGGAACCTGCGAGCTGAGTTTGTTACAGAAACAGGCCCGGGCTCAGCCGAGCAGGGCACAGCTCGTTCCTGCTCTGAGATGGCTTCGGCAGACCGGGAGCCCGACATCCTCAGCGCAGCAGAGAAACACGCGGGAGACGGCGGCAACCAGAGGTACAAGCAGGAGTATCTACCTTGTCTTCCTTCGAGGCATCTACGTCTTGTTCCACTTTTTGCTTCTTGGCCAGTGGCTTTTCTTCCTCTTCTGCGTCATCTCCGTCCTCAATCACAGTCTCTTCTGCAACCTGACCAGCAGGTACAGTTAAAACTGAAAAATTAAAAGGTGACAAATTATACAGCGTGAGACACGCTTTTGCACAGATGTCTCCTGCAAGACTTCTCTGAAATCAGTGCACCGGCGTGGCTCTGGAGAAAACGAGGAGACCTGAGGATCAGCTGTGCCTCAGTCTTCCTGGAGAGGAAGGAATCGCTGGACCTGGTTTCCAGTTTGCTTTATTCAGGTCCCAGAAGTACCCGAGTATTTCCCCACAACAGGGCTGACAGAATCTGAAGTCAAAGATTTGCATCTTAGTTTTTACCTCACACGTTTTCTACCATTCTGATGGCTCAATAATGCAAGTAGCAGCCGAGACAGGCTAAGCAAGAGGAACAGAAAGCTCTTCTTGAAAATTCCAAGTGCCTAAGCTCTGAATCAGCTTTTAGCACACACAAGAGCTGCAAAGACTCCAAAGAACAAACACATTTTAAATCTGCAAACGTGGGTTTCCACTTTGGGAAGCCAGCAGCAAGAATCCGTCCAGCCAAGGAGGTGAAAGGCACCACGTGAGCTACGGAAGGTAGCTCTGCCTGAACAGTTCTCCCTTTGTATTCCTTAGATTAAGAATGGGTTACAAGCCAGGAATTGTTTGTAGTAATTTGGCAAACAATTCTGAATAATCAACAGCTTTAGCAAATTGCTTTTCACTCGTGAAGTCCGTGACCTATCTCACGTTGTAGCACTGTGTGCAAGTTACAGGAGAGCTCCTCTGCTTCCTAATCCTCTTCTTCTGCACCAGCGTTAATCCAAGTAATCAAATATCCCTAGGACACGCTAGAAGAAATGTCGGTAGTAGACAAGGCTGACCACTTACACCCCCTGAGGAAACAAAAATTCACTGTACGAGCACTCTGGAGCTCTGCCCTGCTTTACTGAACATGATTTATATTCGCCTTGTAAAACGGATAGATTATATTGTCCTAGGCAACACAACTGGAGTTATGGGAGGAAAAGGTGTGTTTAAGGTGATATTAACGGCCTTATGTTAAGTTTTGTAAGAATGAGGGAGTGATTGCTAAAGGTAACAGGTTGCAGCTTCAGCGGTCGAGTGATTTACTCCCAGACTGGGAAGTCTGCCACAAGATAAAGGAATCGTCTGTGCCTGGCTGCCGAAGAGACAACAGCTAACTCCGCACTCCTCCTCCCGCAGCGTTCTGCTGGAGGTGTTTGGGTTTAATGCAAAGACCAAAATATTAAAGCGTAGCAGCGTGAGTTAAGCTACAAATACGTCGCTGGCAAGCCTTCCTGCTG